AAATGTTTGATGGCTACAGTCATCTTCACAGTAACTGGCAATGTGATCCTTACCCTGCTCTGAGATTGCCATTGTAACTGCAGTAGGTGCAGATTTCAATGAAGGTATTCTTCCTGAGGCCGAGATGTTTCATACATTGCTTGCCAGTGTGGTTCAGGTAGGAGAATTGGTCGCTGAGAACCCTGTGCACATAAAGTCCTTTTGTCACTCCTCACTCTCTTAGCAGCTTTCCCTGATCTTTGGGGACTCTGCACATTCTCCAAATCCTACTGTATCACATGGGAATACCTAGCGTTGCATCTACGTCTTTAAGTAGCTGGTTTGTGCAGAAGCCATGAAGTCTGGATTAAGTCCTTCAGCACCTGTCACACCATTCCACTAACCTCTAAGCAGTTGATGATTCCTTGGCAAGAGTAACTATGAATGATGACTTCCAGGTTGCAGTGGGCAGACCTTCACATGGTCCTGCTTAACATGATGCAATGGGATTGTAGTTTTTTTTTTAATCTCACTTGGATGTGGACTTTACTAGTCCAACCACCAATGAAACTATCAGCACAAAATCATTTCTAGTTGGTTATGGTTTACAGGAACCATTGGGAATAATAAATCAAAAATAGATGGCCTTTCAAGACCTGATCTGTGTGGATAAGATTTTAACCAAATAAAATCCCGATGTTTGTTTTATTCTGATGACCCCGAAGACTGATAAATGTTGTAAATGTTCTGAAGTAGACTCACAGGACACAAAACTTTAACTCTGTTTTCTCTTCACAGATGCTGCCAGACCTGCTGGGTTTCTCCAGCAATTTCTGTTTTTGTTTGTCTCAGATCTCCAGCATTCACAGTTAACTGTTTTATAATGAAGATAAATGTTGTAGTCATTTTTTTCCAGAAGTTAAGTGGAGCTACACCTGTCAGTCTAATCACATCCTCAACAAATTTATTAGCAACCAAACAGTTGAGAGGTGTATCAGATTATGCATTAATCCAATTAAGATACTGGGGTTGTGAAATGTATGAGGAAATGAAATAGACAACTTAGTTTAATCAAAAGATATGAATGAGGAAGCCAATTTGTGGAAATGAAAGCAGACATGACCATGTACCATTAAATAAGCATTATAATCTAAAGCTGAGAATTTTACCAGGGTAGATTCAGACATTTACAGTACAAAACGATGCCAACACGTCTGAAGCAGTCAACAAAGATCAGACTTACACTAATCCCATGTTCCACCTCTTGGACTGTAATACTGGAAGCTATGCCAATGGAAGTGAATATCTAAATATTGCGTAAAAGTTGAGAGTCAAATGAAAGCAAAATACTGCAGACACTGGAAATTGAAACAAACAGAATGCTGGAGAAATTCAGCAGGTTGGCAACATCTGTGGAGAGAGAAACAGAATTAAAGTTTCAAGACTTTTAGAACTCTTCACAGTATTTCTGAACAGTTTTAGTCTGGTTAATAAGAATGATAAATATCGTAGTTGTTTTTGCTGGAAGTTAAGTGGAGCTCCACCTGTAAGTCTAACTATGTCCTAATAAAGCAATTGGGCACCAGAACAGTGCTGGAGTTTCTGATGAAATGCTCCTGAGTTTCTCCAGCATTTTCTATCTTTAAAACATAGAACATAGAACAGTACAGCACAGTACAGGCCCTTCAGCCCACAATGTCGCGCCGACCTATTATCCTACTCTGAGGTCAAACTACTCTGCATACCCTACATTTTACTATCATCCATGTGCCTATCCAAGAGTCACTTAAATGCCCCTAATGTATCTGACTAAACTACCACCTCCGGCAGCGCATTCCACACACCCACTACTCTCTGTGTAAAGAACCTACCTCTGACATCTTCCCTATACCTTCCTCCAATCGCCTTAAAATTGTGCCCCCTTGTAATAGTCATTTCCATCCTAGGTAAAAGTCTCTGGCTATCCACTCTATCTATGCCTTTCCATCATCTTGTACACCTCTATCAAGTCATTTCTCATCCTTTTTTGCTCCAATGAGAAAAGCCCTAGCTCCCTTAACCTTTCCTCATAAAACCTCTCCTCCAGTTCAGGCAGCATCCTGGTAAATCTCCTCTGCACCCTCTCTAAAGCTTCCACATCCTTTCTACAATGAGGTGACCAGAACTGAACACAATATTCCAAGTGTGGTCTAACCAGGGTTTTATAGAGCTGCAGCATAACCTCGCAACACTTATACTCAATTCCCCTGCCAATGAAATCTTTGATAAAAGTTGAGAGTTTCCTACTCAACCAGGCGTTGGACTGGGGTGGACAAGGTCAAAAATCACATGACACCAGGTTATAGCTCAACAGGTTTATTTGAAAACACAAGGTTTCAGAGTCTCACTCCTTCTTCAGGTGTTAGTGAGAGGTGGCATCAGACACAGAATTTAAAAGCAAAAGATCAAAGTGTCATAGAACTGATGCGAATGTATTGAATAAACCTAATATGGCCGTTAAATCATTAATCAGTTAGAAAGGAGATGCAGGTTTCGGTTGAAGTGTTTTGTAAAATAGGGCTGAGTCGGCAAGGCTTTGTCAAAGGGACATCATGCCTGACAAATCTGTTAGAATTTTTTGAGCAGGTAATGAGCAAGTAGACATGATCCATTTGGATTTCCAGAAGGCCTGTGACAACCCGCATATGAGGCTGCTAAATAAGACAGGACCCACTGGTGTTGGGGGTAAGGTACTAGCACGGAGAGAGGATTGGCTGATTTGCAGAAGGCAGAGAGTAAGGATAAATGGACCTTTTTCAGGACGGTAGCCGGTGACTATTGAGGTTCTGCAGAGGTCCTTGTTGAAACCACAATTATTCTGTTATACATTAATGATCTAGATGAAGGAACTGAGGTATTGTTGCTGTGTTTGCAGATAACACAAAGGTAAGTGGAGGGACACGTAGTGTTGAGGAAGCAGGGAGGCTGCAGAAAGATTAGGACAGTCTTGGAGAGTGGGCAAAGAAGTGGCAGATAGAATACAATGTGAGAAAGTGTGAGGGTATGGACATTGGAAAGAAGAATAGAAGCATAGACTATTTTCTAAGTGGGGAAAGGTTTCGGAAATCTGAAATATAAGGGGGCTTGGGTATTCTAGTTCAGGATTCTCTTAAGGTTAACATTTAGGTTCAGTTGGTAGTTAGAAAGGCAAATGCAATGTTAGCATTCATTTCAAGAAGGCTTGAATACTTTAAGAGCAGAGATATACTGCTGAGGCTATATAAGGCTCTGGTCAGACCACATTTGAAATATTGAGTAGTGATGGGCCCCATATCCAAGAAAAGATGTGCTTGCACTAGAGGTAGTTCAGAGTGTGTTTACAAAAATTATCCCAGGGATGAGGGATTTCTTATGGGGTGCCGTTGAGCACTCTGGGACTATACACAAAGTTTAGAAGGATGGGGGATCTGATTGAAACTCACAGGATACTTAGAAGCCTGGACAGAGAGGTCATGAAGAAAGTGTTGGCACTAATAGGAAAGACTAGGATCCAAGAGAATATCCTCAGCATGAAGGGACAACCTTTTAGAACTGAGATGAGGAGGAATTTCCTCAGTCAATCGATGGTTAATCAGTGGAACTCATTGCCGCAGAGGGCCGAGGAGGCTGAGTTATTGAGTCTATTTAAGACAGAAATATATAGGTTCTTTATTGGGGAGTGGGTCTAGGCTTATGGGGGAAGGGCAGGAACATGGTGTTGGAAAACATGTCAGCTACGATCTATTGGTGGAGCAGACTCTATGGGCCGAATGGCCAAATTCTGCTCTTGTATCTTATGGTCGTCACTTCCAAGGAAAACAACCCCAACCTGTCCAATTTTCCAGAATTTATTCTCACATGATTTAGAATTGGTGATAGATATTGATGTTGATTAACGATGTTTTAATTGTAATGTTAAACCACGTCGTTTGACATTGTATTTAAGTTCATTTTAATTGTGATATATGTAGTTGAACTCCCGGCTTCCAATAGTCACCGTATTTTATATTTAATTTTACCTTGTTGATTTTGATTTTAGACTTGAGTTGTAATTCTCGGGGAACGAGCCACGGCAAGAGTCAAAATAAACATTTTAATTGTTAGCTAACAAGGCGTAGAGCTGGAGGAACACAGCAGGCCAAGCAGCATCAGAGGAGCAGGAAAGCTGACGTTTCGGGCCTAGACCCTTCTTCAGAAATCTTCTTCAGAAATTGTTAAACTGTTTGTTAATAGCACTAATTTGGTGGGGGTGGAGGTGGGGGGTGGTGTGGGGGTTGGTCTTCCTGTTGCTGAATGCATATTCAGCTACCTGTATTTATGACAGCAGATTGCATGAAGCATTGGAGTCCCGGGTCCTGGTCGATTGGCACCAAAATCTGCCGACTCTGCACGCTTCTAACACTCACAATGTCCAACTTCCTCGCTAATAAATAATCCTGTGCGACTCACACTTGAAGTCGCACTATGCCACTTTGGGCCTCTAAACGCCCACCCCCATCACTCAGTCCATGACCAAAACCAGCACCACGCATTTTGCGCCATAAGATTCTGTGGAAAAAGTTGCCATCCATCTTTTGCATATTGTTTTCTACCTCCCATCCCACCCAGAAACTTGTGGAAAATGGGTGAAGCCGGAAGAAGACATTTACAAGGGTTCCCGTGGAAGCGTCATAAAGATTGGATAGCTATGCAGGAAAAGGGTTCGGATCTTATATTTTGAAAAACAAAACCCCTCGGAGAAAGTCTCCCCGGTTTTCGAGCCGCATCCTGCGGGGGACAGAATGTCGAGCGCTCGATTCTTTCCCAAAGATGCTACTTCTTTGTCGCCCCGGTAACACGCAGCCGCAGAACACATACGGAAGTCAGGTGGCAGACGGGAGCGTGCTGCGTTACCATGGCACCGGGGACCCGAAGCTCACGTGCGCCAATAACGGAAGGTGATTGGTGGGATTTAATAGACGCGGGCTGCTTGAAAGTAATTTGCTACACGATGGGAGCGGAGGGAGCTGCTTCTCGCCCGGAGACTAATTAGAGTCACTCCGCTATATAGGCTGGCTTCAGGCAAGCTCTTACACACTTATAAGTGTGATCTGAGAAGCTATTGCTTGGAGCTGAACGGGGAAAATTGTGCGAGCTACTTTTTTTTGGTGCTGTTTAATTTATGTATGTAGCCACCATGTACAGGAGTAATTCTGCTGCTGTCAAGCGCAATGCTAATCAAGAAAATCAACATCTTGTCCCGCAGATGGGCCCAGTTAGCCAAAAGCAAAGGACTGTTTTAGGGGTGCTAAATGAGAATGACCAGCAGAGGCGTTTACTTTCTCAGGTAACCTGTGTATTCAGTAAATCCGCTATTCCTGGGGATTTTTTTCCCCCAACGATATTCGGAGCTCTGCTATCTAAATCTATCGTTTAGAGCCCAACTCCCGTCGCTGGAGCTCTTGGGCTATTTCGGGAAGTTTGCAAACTATCTGACCTTGAATTTCCCTTTCCCCTTTCTAACGTGTTTCATTAGGTTTCCGCGAAAGCTTGCGGCACAGTTGCAGTGGGGACTGACGATGGGTTCACTTCGGCGAAGGGCTGCAGCACTCTCCCGGAATGTCCGGCTACTTTTGTGTCCAACCCGAACTTCAACATTTATATGGAGGATGAAGTCCAAGATGAAGTCGAAGTCTCTGAATGTAACGTGACCTCTGAACTGGAATCTAAACTTGGAGAAGTTGGCAATATCTCCAAACCAGTAGACGACTATTGTCTGTTCTTGGATCTGAGTGAAGGTAATTGCGAGACGCGACCTAGAATTTGTTATCGCTCGATTTGAGCTCTGAATCTCTTATCGTGTTGCCTTCTAAAATGTAGATGATTACGTTACTGCATCCGTTTTATTTTCGCTACTAACACGATTGGGTTCAAAACTTTACCATTCGAGTACATAGTCTTAGTTCTACTTGTACACGTGTTCTAAGCATTCTGTTCCCAAACCTTCATTGGCTGTTCAATGTTTTATGTCGTCTGTATAGTCTCGCCTATGCTAGTAGATTCATCAATGCGCTCGCAGCGTTCACATGAAGATTCGCATCTACACGTAGATTACCTCGCCGTGGAAGGATATGCAGAAGACATTTATCGGTACCTCCGAGAGGCCGAAGTGAGTCTCGGCAGCATGAACTTTAATGTTTTACCGAAATAACATTTCGGCTGACTGTATGTCCTTCTTGGTTCTCCGCTGGGTTTGGTCATAGTGCTAGCTGTCCTGGGTGTTTTTTCCACTTGGGCATTTAAAACCCGCCTACTGCGGAATCTACTTATAAACAAGATTAACTATGAGAAAGTGTGTCTGTGTCGTTTATGAAACTGCTTTTTGTTTCACTCACTTATTAATCTCCAGGCCTCCAACTCCGCTGCAGTTGGACTACAGGAAATAATCTAGTAGCACTAAAGTGTTTTGTCTAGTTTTCAGAACAGACTTAGACTTGTAGGCTCCCAGCTCACTCACTGCGGGATGACGTTTTTTTTTCTGCACCAGGACTTGTCACTTTAGCAATTCGTTTTTCTCTTCCGCCCCGCCCCCAAACTTGGCGTTAATCGTTGAAAGAAATGTTTATTTTTTTTCAGGAGAAATGCAGACCGAAATTTGGGTACATGAAGAAGCAGCCAGATATAACGCACAGTATGCGCTCAATTCTCGTGGATTGGCTGGTTGAAGTTGGTGAGGAGTACAACCTACAAACTGAGACGTTGTACTTAGCAATAAATTACCTGGACAGATTCCTGTCGTGTATGTCAGTCCTGAGGGGAAAGCTGCAACTGGTGGGCACAGCAGCTATGCTGATAGCATCGTAAGTCTTTCTTTTTTGAACTCCTGTCGTGAAGTTGCTGTCTCTTAGCGCAAACTTAAAACAATCGTGACTGGAGGATTGCCCAGATTGCGTAATCTCGGCAATAAAAAAAAACTTAATCTTGAACGATCAATTTGTACACTTCCCCTAGGAAATACGAAGAAATCTATCCCCCCGAAATAGATGAGTTTGTCTACATAACAGATGACACCTACACAAAAAAACAACTCTTGCGCATGGAGCATCTCCTACTCAAGGTGTTGAGCTTTGACATGACTGTTCCAACAGTTAACCAGTTCCTAACGCAGTTTTTGAAGGAGGAAGGGATCGATGGACAAATGGGAAGTCTAGCGATGGTATGTATCTTTTTTCCTAGGTAAAATTCCAGTCTAACTCCCGGGTTTCTACAGGTTGGAGTTCGACTCGGAAATTCCGAGATTTGGAAGATTCTCAACAAGAGGCAATTCATTTGGGTAAGTCAGTGTCCAGGTCCTGGCACCTCCTCGGATGCCGTTCATAGCTGTCATTTTAACAGCCATCTAATCTAATAACATAACAACATTTTCCAGCTCTTGGCCCTTAGCTTTGCACTCCATAGCGTTGATGAACCCCTGATACCACGTTTAAATGTTTTGATGGTTCTGTCTGTATCGCTGTCGCTAAGGCAGATGTCCACAACTCGGCACTCTTTTTGGTTAAGAGTTTTTTGGTCTTGTTGATCTAAGTACAAAGATTCTCTGGTCCCTGCTGTTCAGACTTTACATTGCAGAACTCCTTTCTCCATCCCCAATTCTCCCCTCCACCACCACCCAAGGGCTTCAACTTTTTCAATCTCCTTGGTCGAATTGCTCCAGTCCAGGCAACATCCTCCTTTTGTTCCCTCTACTGCAGTCACATCACACCTTTTTAGTGTGGCAACCGGAACTGCATACAGCACCACAGCTGTGGCTGAAGTAATACCTTTTTATGCAGCTCCATCATGACCTCCTTGTTCTTGCCCACTATTCAGAGTATTGGATAAAAGTATCCCATGTACCATCCTAACCACTTTACAACCTGTCTTTTCATCTGGGTGTAAATCACAAATTGGGGTCTCCTTGGTGCAGTGATGGTGTCCTGCCTTAAGGTTAGAAGCCTAGAGTGAGTCTCACCTGACACCAGAGATCTCCTGACTGGTCTTGAAGCATTGGCTATTGACAGAAAAAGTAATGACTAACTTTTGAGCATAGTGGTCAAATGGTATTAATGAACCAACACAGGCCCCATACTAATCACCAATAATAGCCCAGCAACACCTTGAGCTTGTCTTTCTCTCCATAATGTAGCAAATGGACTGCTTCACTAAAGGTCTCTGCAAGAGAGCCCTTTTAAAGACCTTTTACTTTTCCAGTGCTATTTGAAACAACAAAAGGGGTACTTGTCTTGCTGGTCCAAACTAAGATGGTTTTGGACATGAGCCCTAATAATTGCATGGTTTTTGATGTCATGGTAGACAGGTGTGCTGGCTTTGAGTTGCAAGTTGCATTTGGCAATAACTTCTAAACACTACTTTTACTTTTACTTTTGAATACCTAGTATTTGAACATCTATGTTTATAACTGATGTGGTACTAGTGTGTTCCACTTGAATTTGTGGAAACTTAGAATGTTGTCAAACTTTATTGTCCCAGTCCAAATGCAACATGGGCATCCCAGTTGCCAGCCCCACTCACTCCTGCCTCCTTTAATCTGTCTGTCTTCCCCACCTCCACTGACCAATCCCACCACTCCCTACCTGCACTCACCTATCCCCATTCCACTTGCCTTCCCTAACCCCACCCCTTCTATCTATCTTTATTTCAGAGCACCCTTCCCCCTTTCTGAAGGGTCCCAAACGAAAACGTCAGCTTTCCTGCGGCCTGGCCTACTGTGTTCCTCCAGCTCCACAGTGTTATCTCTGACTCCAGCATCAGCAGTTCTTACTATCTCTGAGACGTGGGCATGATGCAATTACATAATTATGAACTAAAGTTGTCTGTGACTCAAACTAGGCCAGTAAAAGGATTCGTAATGATAAACTGAGCTTGTCATGTCTAAGTCAACGTTAGACTTGAGGCTGACCACACCATATCTTCAAATGTACAAGTCCTTGTCAGCTTTCTGTCTCTGGAAGAGAGGTGAAAATGAGTCTGACTTCTCAGTGAGATGATCTGTCACATTAAAAGAAACCACTTTCTTTTTAGAAGCCCATGATTTGATCCTCCCCACCAACCCACAAACTAATGTGGTTGGCTTGTGTCCTGTCCTAACTTTTTAAAGACCACCACCTAATTTTTAAATGAACATCATTCTGCATTGAAGATCTCTAGATTTGGATTCAATATTCTCCACTCGTGGCATTGAGAATCGAGTGATTGCAAAGACCCAATTAAAGTCTGTATTGCTGTTTTTTATTTTTTTTTGTGCTATATCAAGAGTTTGTCAGATAATCTGAAATCAGAATATGGTATCATCACAAATCTCCATTATGCAACTGTAGAATGGCAGTAAAAAATGTTCAACTAAAACTTTGGAGGCTAATTTTGTTCTATATAGCATGCAGCTTAGTAGGGTAAGCATCCATGCCTTGTGGTAGCATTGGAAAACTTTGAAGGAAGTGCTAGCTATTAATAAAAAAAATGTATTGACAAAAGCTGAAGTGAGGCTCACTTCAAAGATCAGATTGGCTTGTGCGAGGCTAACCAGAATAGTTTTTTTCCAGTTCTGTGGCATTGAATTAGGTGTCCATGTGGTGGTATGGGTTGATCACATTGACATAATTTTGCATGATCAGAAATTTGTAATTCCTTCAAGTGTAACTTTTTCCCCTCTTGAATGTAAGGTCAAAGGTTAGCATAGAACAAGTATGCTGCAAGCAAGACTGAAAGCTTGTTACTAACAGTTGCGTGGACCTCAGTTAAAGAACTCTTTTGTGTTAATTGGCATCTCTTTCTCCTATCCTCAGTACATAGCTGAGCTGAGTCTATTAGAAGCTGATGTATGTCTGAAGTATGCACCCTCACTAATGGCAGCAGCTGCATATTGCTTGGCAAACTACACAATCAACAATGCATTTTGGGTAAGCATTTTGTGCTAGTAATGCCATGTTTAAAAATCAATGGAAACACAACAGGCTAAGATGAATGTAAATTAGCAAATATGGTATCACCAAGTGTACAAACCACAGCAGCCTCACCACTCCTCTTTTTCCCCCCCCCCCCCCCCCCACCACATATAATTCCTTGAAGTGGAAAGAAGATAGGATGGTTTAATGTCATAACTAACTCCAATTTCTACTCCATTACCCACATGTCTCTTAAGTGATGTCCTGTGCCCAAAGTCCATGAAGGACTTTGGTGCACATTGATTCTTTAACCTGAAGTTAATATTAAATCCTCCAGTCCTGCTATTAAAAAATAATGCTTGAGGCTACTCAGTACACTGACATGTCTTCACATTTTAACTGTCTAACAGCAATTGGTGTCCAAGTCATTAGCAGCAGGCTGAAGAACAAGGAGTGCTCAAGAAGATAGCCTTACTGATTTGGCCATTTTTCTTCCTTCTTACAACAACCACCACCACCCCCCCTCCCCTGCCCATTCTATCGTTTTAAGGTGTAAAACTTCGCATTCAGTTTTTGCTATGGATAGCAGTTTATCTAATCATACTTGTTTGTTTTTCATTTCTGGACGTGTCAACCCTGTAGATACTATCAAAGCATTTTACTATTTTGGGAGTAGAAGAATAACCACATCCTTGAAAAACAAACTTCTAAGTCCCTTTTTTTTCACAGCTTGTATTTCAAACAGCATTCCATTATGACAGTTGAGGGTAGTAAGACCTTCTTTTTGACATTGGCCTGTCGACCATCCTCCTCGAGTTTGCCCTTCTCTGGAAACCTAATAACAATATGCCTCTAACTCCTAAATTTAGAGGCTGGTACAATATTATACCTATTCAGATGGGTATATGAATAGGAAAGGCTTAGTGGGATATGGGACTAACTAGTCCCATCTGGTCAGCATGGATGAGTTGGACCAAAGAGTCTGTTTCTGTGCTGTAAAGATCACTGATCAGCTATGCTTATTTGCTCTACATAGTTAACATTTTTATTATTAAAAAAAAAAATTAATCAACCAAGTCAATTCTAGATACAATTTAACACTTTAAACCATAATTTGTAAAATAGCAACTCTGTTTTGACAGCCTCAGTCTCTCGCTACATTTAGCGGATACTCATTGGTGGATATTGTACCTTGCCTGCATGATATGCACAAGACCTTTCTCCAAGCCAAACTGCAACCACAACAAGCCATTAAGGAAAAATACAGGAGCTCCAAGTAAGTGGGCTTCTGATTTAAAAAATCTATATAAGCTGTCTTTTGGAAATATTTTTTTAAAATAAAAATGCTTCTCCTAGGTATCTGAGAATTTCTCTCATTGAGCCTCCAGCAACCTTGCCTCTGCATGTGCTGATTTCAAGTGCCATTCAAGGATGAAAATTGAACACATCATATTAAAAGTACAGCACTAACACTATGAAGGACTGAACTGGTCACAAACACTTGAAGGACTGCTGCTAACCAACTCCATGGCTGACTGCAGTTGGACTGTGACCCTGTTTTAACTTTTTAAGGTGCAATTTTAAGCTACAGTATTAAATTTTAGACTTTATTTATAAGGAATTCAAAAATTAACTTTGTAAGCTCAGGTAGTGACGGCTCAAATGCCATGTACTGATTCAGGAACCATTTTAAATGCTATTTGCATTTATCACTGACATTATGCTGGAGTGTTTGAGTACTTTGCATTTGTACAACCAATAAAGTGTTTTTGTTTTTAAGCTGGACATTGCATCAATTTCTTCTGCTCCAAAAAACATTAAATGACAAGTTGGATGTATCACGAACTAGTGAGGCCTCCATATGAAATGTAGTCAAGGTTTGAGCTTCAGGGAGTGACTGGAGGAATGGCATGTGGTGTTCAAGACTTGCATAACAATGTAACATGCCACAACACCAGCCAAAGAACTTATTTCTGCCACTTATTGTGATTTTGAGCTATTTTTAGTGGCTTTGATCAGATTTGTACTTGGGATGCAATTTAATGCAAGTACTAGATATCAAACTAGTTCACTAGCTTTGGGCCATTCAAGAAATTCTTAAATGAAAGACCATTCATAACAAAAGCTATGCCATTCTGTTAGCACCTTTTCACAACTGCAGGCTACCTCCAAAGAACACAACAACAAAGGGATTACTTTTTATATGTAGTCTCTGGCTGCCATGTTTTTGACACTGATTCCAAATACCTTGAAGTTTACACTAGCAATCTAACTTGGTGTTGAGTGACGAGGGGTTGATAGAAGTCAGATGCTAGTGATAATGCCTTGGTTTTTTCTGTGAAATAGTCTTAACTTTTTAACAGCCATTAATTGCCTTGTCCAAAAGAGTACCTTGACTGGAATATCAATTGACATTAAGTGCTGGCGTTTGGAGAATTTTTTTTTTTTTTAAAAATCCACAGCTCAGCTACCATCAGCAGTCCCTGGGCCTACCTAAGTGTTTGGAATCACTTCCAGTTCCAAAGAACTAACTTCTCAGTACAAATGCACAAACAGGTCAGTGAAACCAGACTAAGATCCATTTGGCTTCATGATGTAGCCTGCTCCAGGCTGTCCTCCACCTGCCCTCTTCAGAGTTTAATGAATGCTTTTAAGCTAACTAGCGCAAACTCTCCACTACAGGTTTGACCACCTAAGTAGACAGCTTTGTCTCTTTTTTTTTTGGTTTTTAAGCATTCTATCTTGTGTGCATGTCTTTGAAATAGAACTAACTGATCACAAACTAGATATTTATACAAATTCCAAATGTCCTCCCACTTAGGAGCTCCTATTTCCTTAAATCACTCCACATAACTACATCCAGCTGTGATCTATCCCAAATGGGCTAGAAACATTAAGGGAATTCCCCTTTACACAGAATTCTTCACCCCTTGCCATTTTACTGTTTCCCTGGCTTAATGATTATAAATTCTTCTTCTATTTTTAATTGAAATTTGTTGGTCCATGTCCTCCAGACAGTAAAGTTGATTGCATTGCCATGACAGCATAATTTAGTGTAATTTTTCTTGGGGGTTGGGAAAGAAATGTTTCCGCTAACTTTTTTGTGCTTCCCTGACTATTACAAAATGTAACTTTTATTTTATGGTTTAAAAATCATTGAATGCTAAAGCTCCAAGGAATTGGGGGTGGCAGGGGGGAAAAAAATCTCATTTTATTTGCAGGGAAAGTACATCTATTGTGGAATGATCATTAGATAATGAGGAAAGCTTAGAATATTAGAAGCAAAATCTGCTGATGTATTTGCAAGGATGTTCAGCCATAACTATATATTGAGCTTGAGTTGTAAGGAGAGGCTAGGACTCCACTTCCTCCACTTTCTTTTCTCCCTTCCCACCCTGCCCTGCCCTGCATAGGTGGTCAAAGGGTGAAAATATCTGGAGAGGTCTATAAAACCACGACCAATATGGATAAGGTGCACTATAGGTATCTTTCTCCGTTCCCAGGGATGGGTTATTGAGACTAGGCTGTATCTCTTGGGTGAGAGTAGAGAATTTTAAAGACCCTGTGTTTCTGTTAGTTCCTTCTTTCTTTTCTAGACTGAACTTCCATATTAAGTGATGGATATGGGTAATATGTAAAAGACACATGAATAGAAATGTTTTGGAGAATATGGACTAATTGCAGGCATGTGGGATTAGTTTAGGATTATCGTTGGCATAGACTGAAAAGTTTGCTTCCATGCTGTATGACCGAGTGATCAATATTAGCCTTGAAGCCACCTGATCAAAGGCACCTCTTCAGCCCGTTCAATCCACTGCAGTAAGAAAATACTCTGCATTTGCTTTGTGCAGCATGCTATAGGCTTTGATACTATTATGCTCTAGAATAAACTACACACCTAGCATTAATCTTCTGCCACTATCTAAGTGGCACTTAGCAATTATCACTGCACCAACAGATCTTTTACACTGAAATGGGTTGTGTGCTTACCTCTAAGCCAGGAGGCCTGAGTTAAAGTCACCTGCTTCAGATGTGCATAACAGCTGAACGGTTGTTTTTTTTTCCCTCAACCTCTGGCTTTGGAGAGTGAGAGTGACTGTTTAAATGCTGTTTTGATTTAAAAGGACAAAGTGTGGTATCAAGGAGTCTGAGCAAAATTGAATTCCATGTGAATCTTGGGGGGAAAACTTTTCCACTGTTTTAATAGCATTACTGTGACTAAATTTACCATGATATTCCTGAATGGGTGATTATGCTTGCATTTTTGCACACCATTCTGCTGTTTTGAGCTTGGCTTGTTGTAGATGCGAAAGATGATGGGCAGCTTTGTGGATGCTGCTTGTACAACTTGCACAGTATCAGGCTGAAGATTTGGGTTGGGGATGATATTTACATTTCCTCAGGGAGGTTTTAAGGAACTCCTTGAAGCATTTTTTTTTTTTTTTTGTCTGCCCTTCTGATAACTGCTTGCCATGACAATGTTTTGGAGTAGAGCTCATTTTGGAAGGTGTCAGGCGTGCTCTGGCTTACCATCTTCTGGGACCAATCAAGAATAATGCTGGTCTTAGCAACAATGCCCATATCTCATGAAAAGGGGGGAAAAATTTAACTCCTGGAAGTAACATGTTAACCAGGTTAATGTTTAAGTCTATAATATTTCAATGTCTGTTCCACAAGTTCTTTTTACCTTGTGATTTTACACAACAAATTTGTAGTTTTCTTTGAATTTATTCAGAAGCAAATGTGTTACCTTAGCCGTTACTGTGCTGCAAAACTGAAGTAATGAGTGTCTGGAGGAAGAAAATTAAGGAGTATTATGCTGCTGACTTTGTACTACTACCATTACAATTTACTAGGTGCATTACATCAAAACAAAAACAGGATTTTTTTTTTCTTACAACGTACTATAATATTTTACCTGTCAGTTTTAGTTTATTTGTTCATGGCATAGGGGTGTAAAGGGCTAGGCCAACATTTATTGCCCATTCCTAATTGTCTTCAAATAAAAGGCAGTGAGGGGCCTATTTCTGCATAGAGGTCTAAAGCACTGGAAAAGGCCCTTTTGGCAGGCAAAGTATGCACTGGTCAAAAACAACCACCTAACTATTCTAAGCCTACTTTTCATTCCTTGAACCATGGGAATACCACCATCTGCACGTTTCCCTTCTAAGCCACTCACCATCCTGACATGGAAATACATTGCTATTCCTTCAGCTTTGCTGGGTCAGAATCCATGAACCTCTCCCTGGCAGTGCCTACAACATGTGGACTGGAACAGTTCTAAAGGGCAATTATGGATGTGCAATGGCCAAGCCATTGACATAAGTTTTATAAGAATTAGAAAAGTCTCCTGAAGATCTCCTGCAGTGATTTCCTGGAGCTGAGATGACTAATCTCCAACCACCCAACCATCTTCCTATGTGCCCAGTTTGACTCCAGCCAGCACCCCTGATGCCTAGGGACCGCTACTGGTATTCAGTCACTGAACAGACTCACAGGAAGTTGCCAATGTACTTTTAACAAAATGATATTACAATTTATTGGACATGAAAGGAGAAAGAATAGCAACACTGTACAAGAATTAGTTGAACCTGTTTCATTACAAATCCAAAATAAAGACTCAACACCTGAATCTGTAAGAGCAACTTCAGTGAAAGTTTGCCCTGTTTCCATTTTACAAATTCCTGTTCAGTGGGAAGAGCTGTGCTTGGTTTCTTTCTAGTAAATATCTACATTCACTCAATGCTATCTTCTTTAGTTAATATCTCTTTATGAGACTCTCAAACCACTAACACTTACTCTTTATCATGTGTTCCTAAAATTCATGCATTCACCAGCCTGCTACTATCTGACATCTCAAAATCTTTTGTTCCTGGAACATTTTGTTTACTAATCTCTAAGTCACTATTCTTATACCCTGACTGCTTTGGAGATTGATGAACTGTACCTTTGATGTTACAGGCCTTTTCTTTCTGAATGACCCACTTCTGTCTCAGAAAGAAACCTGACAAACACACTGAACATTTGGATGGTTCTCTTCCTAAAATGAAACTTGAGTCAACTCTGTCTCTTTGTGTCATATGACATCTTGCAACAGTCACATTTTTCCTCTCTTCTATCTGTTTTTTAAACTTAACTGATAGAGTCATACAGCACAGAACGAGGCCCTTCAGCCCCACCACAGTTCAGTTTAGGAAACTTGGTAGGCATGGACAAATTTCCCAAACTGAACTAGTCCCACTTGTCTGTATTTGGCCCATATCCCTCCAAACCTTTCCTTTCCATGCATTTCTCCAAATTACTTTTAAATGTTGCAATTGTACCCACATCTACCACTTTCTCTGGCTGGTCTTTCCATATATACACCACTGTCTGTGTGAAAATGATGCCCCCTTGCATCCCTTTTGAATCTTTTCCTTTCCACCTTAAACCTCTGGTTTTGGATTCCCCTACCCTGGGGAGTAGACCTCGGCCATTCACCTTATCTATGTCCCTCATGATTTTATGAACATCTATAAGAGTCATAGAGGTCTACAGCATGAAAACAAGCCCTTCAGCCCAACTTACCCATGCCACTCAGTTTTCACAATTTAAACCAGTCCCATTTGCCTGCAGTTGGACACATAAGGTCACCTCTAAGCCTCCTACACTCTAGGGACAAAGTCCCAGCCTATCCATACAACTCAAACCTTCCAATTTCAGTAGCATCCTTGCAGATCTTTT